GGCTACCCACTTAGGATTAAATAATTTCTCAGGGAGATAGTCCCTGGAGGAAACTGGTTCTCCCTCCCTCAAGCAGCCATTGATTGCCTGTAGCTCTTCATTTTCAGGTGGACCCCATGAAATTTCCCCCACCCACCTTGGTATGTCAGCTGGTTGTCAGTATGCAGATCTTGCTAGAACACCATGCTGTGGAGATTTCATTGGTGTAGCTTCTAGAATTAGTTAGCATCTGGTGTCGTGTCCCTCCGACTCTTATAATCTTCTCACCCCCTCTTCTGTTATGTTCCCTGAGCTTTAGGTATAGAGATTGCATTGTTGATGCACCACTTATGGCTGAGCACCTCACTGTCACTCACCCTCGATATTTTGTGGAACTTTTTAGTATTCTCCATCTGTTGCAAAAGGAAGCTTCTTTGATGAGTGGTAAGAGCTCCACTTGTCTGTAAGTATAAGGATGCATATTTCTAATATAGTAAGACATTGTATTGGTCTGGGAAAGTGACAGATGTAGGTATCTTCCATAAGGTCTATGGCCTCTCCAATCATGTTATTTTCGATTACTGTTCTTTGAAATACCACAAAAATGCATAAAAAGGAAAAGGAAATAATAATGTCCATTTGCATATCTTCTGACAATGCTGAAAGCCAGCGACTAAGCTCCCTCACTCTGAATTGCTCTTTTATTTTCAGAATTGTGAACATCATCATAACCAACTTGAAATGAAATGTTAGGCATCTCTGTTCTCAAAATGCAGTTTCTTCCCTGCCATCAGGGACTTGCTGAATTGTTCTTTTTGTGAGAGTCCACTCTCTAGCAACAATCCTGAACTTACTCTTTAACTTCCTCCACAAACCTGCAATATCCATTTCTTGTGAAAAAAAAAAAGTGCAATTCTAGCTTTTGTCTTATCTCCAGGCTCTGATCATCTCCTTTTTTAATATAAAAGTATATATCAACATTTCTAGAGAGCGGCGTTGCTTTTCCAAGAGGAAGTCAAATTGCCAGCATTTGTAAAAGCCCATTTGTATCTCTTGTCTGTCCAGGCAATGGGCAAGAGCAAGACTAAGCAGAATTTGGAGTTAACTTCCAAAACAACGTGACACATAGTGAAACCGCGCCATCCATCCTGCTGTGACAACCTCAGGTACTGGCTAAGTTGGCATTAAACCCGAGGATTCAGTCTGGTGGATCCTGTAGACATTTGGTTGGTGATGCCACCCAAGAGATATACTCCTGGTGCTGGGTGCTAAGCATGAAGAGAGCCAGATTGGAGCTACAACCTGCTCTTGCCAGAGGAATTAGAGAAGCAGTCAGGCACCAATGCAGGGGACTATCCTCTGTGAACTGAAGTGGTGATGGACAAGCCAGGAAGCCTTTATACTGTGTACAGGAATTAGCAGTGTATAACTAGAACCTCAGTATCTGGAAATGGAGGCATGAGGATCAGAGTTCAAGATCATCCTCAGTCACATAGTGAGTTTGAAGCCAGTTTGGGCTACATGAGACCCTGTCTCAAAAAAAATTAAAAGAAGGAAGTGAAGAGGAGAAAGGAGAGGAGAGGGGAGGGAGGGGAGGGGAGGAGAGAGGGAAGAAGTGGAGAGGAGGGGAGAGGAGGGGAGGAGGGGGGAGGGGGAGGGAACGAGGGGAGGGGAGAGTCTAGTCTAGGCCTTATAATAGCAATTAGAATTGGTAAACTATGGATACCTCACTTTCAAGTAAATGTTGAATTAGTCCCAGTTTTACTTTTCTGTATTTGCCATAAACTGCTTTCATTCAGACAATTTACTGAAAACTATGAACTTTCCTATTCTTTTACCAATAATAATGAAACTGACTAAAACAACTGCAATTTCTCATTTCCCATTTGGCCTCAGAAATTTATAACTTGGATTAGCAAGAAGACTCAGCAGGTAAAGGTGCTTGCCACCAAGCTCGGTGACGCCATGCCTGTACATGTGCCTTCACGTATGCCTACATGTATGCCTGCACATGTGCCTTCACATGCAATTAATTAATCAGTTAGTTAGAAATGTATAACTCTGACTAGGTTATGCTATCTGCTATTGCTCAGATCAATCCGCTGTTGTCTGTGAATTGTACCCAGTGTATCACATCAGCCAAGCAGGCCTCCTTCTGGTCATGTTGTTTCTCTTAGAATTTGAGCCAAGTCTTTGTTTCCATGGAAGGACATTGCAAAATCCTAGAGAATTATCTAACAAATTAATATAAACAGTCATTATTAATTAAAATGTTTTCCTCATGGACTTGCGTATTGCCTAAAATTCCCCTCATTAATGTCATTTTATGACTATCATTTCATATATGGTGATTTTAGCTGAACATTATCTATGAAAGAGAAGTTGTACTAGCATATTATCTCAGTGGGGTTGTCTCTTTAACTCCTTACTAATTAGCACAGCCTGAGACCAGCAGAATCCAAGGCCTGGATGAATGCTTGTTGGTGGAGATACAAAAACGACGACAAGTGGTTCCGTGGTAGGGGCTCATTCAGCTCGGAGTCCGCACACATCCTGAGCTCCCTGAAGCCAATCACTTTTAGGCTCTGGGCAGAGTGCTGAAAATAATGGGACAGCACTAACAGACATTCAGAGGGAAATGAGATCAACTTTTTTTTTCTGTTCTAAGGCATTTTATAAAAATCTCCGATGAGTAATCCCAGAACCTTAGCATTTCTTGTTCTGCTAAGTTCTCAAGTGAAACTTGCATCCGAATCAATTGCCTGTGTTGATTCTGGCTTCCTGGTAGGTAGGACAAACATGCTTGCCACTAAAATGCTATATTCATTAATGTACAACTCATATCAATACAATAATATGTACTAATGCACCACGTAGAAAGAAGAAAATCTCATGCTATCTATCACATGGAGAAAAGATGTCATTCCATTGACCGAGCCTGGAAAGAATCAAGTGCTCTATGTTCTAAATGGTTTTGAGCTTATATAGCAATTTACAGGAAGCTAATGCTGTGTACTCGGGTTGGAGACGGGAGCTAATTCTGTAAGACTGGAGTGTTTTTAAAGATATCAGTGAGGTTGACTCATTTTAAGATAAACCACAAGTCAAAGTAGCCCGGGTAGCAAATGTTTCTTAAAAGGAAATATATTCCCAGCATCACATTAAAGCTGCTGTCGGTGAGCCCAATTTAGAAAAAAAAGTTTAAAGGCAGATCGTACTTTGCAGGTCTTCAGCTCACTTCTGAGTTTTACATCCTGACCAAGTACTCAGAGCAAAGGAACCCACTGGCTGCAGGTCATGGAGTCGGGGGCTCGAGTGCTTTTGCGAACTGCTCTCCTTTATCTCTTTCTCCTTTTCATGATCCTCTTTGTGATGGCTGATCAAAAACTACAGCTGACTGAGATCACAGAGGACCACCTGCCCTCACATGTGAGAAGCCTGGTGTCTAGTCAGCTCCCTTCTGTATCTAAAGTCATTCTGATCATAAACAAAGAAAAGAAGGAAGCAAGGAGGAGGAAAGAAAGGAACATTTATAGCAAATGCAGACATCAAAACCAGCAAAACCAACCAGAACAGAAAAGGTAAAGGAACTTAAATTTATGGATAGAGGTCCTATTTTTTCAGTCATGGGACTAAGAAAAGGGGAGAGATGGTTATTATAAGCATTTTCAAATTATGTGTCAAAATCTTCAAGTAAATCAAATTTGAAACAGTCTATTTACTGTTGAGTCTAGCCTTTATACTACAAAACATTTTGTATCTTGGTTTCCTTTTAACAATCAAATAATTCCTTGCAGTGGATCCATAGAGCCATCCTGGTCTTCTGGCCGTATTTCAAGACCCAGCTCCTACCCACCTTCTTGGCCAACACTAACATCTGGACTTTGAGTCTTTGATTCCATAACTTGCACTTGGTTGACTCTTAGAACAGGTTTCCCTGGCACTTTTCCTATATGTGCCTACTTGTATCTCCAGCTGTACCAGCATCTCCTTAAGGACAGGTGCTTAAGTTCTTTCAGATCATCCAAAATCCTTAGCACAATTCCTGGCCTATGCATCACTGTCATAATGAAATAAAGTTAATGATTTTCATGGACAATACCAACTGAACAATGGAACAAAACCTCAAGGAATTTGACAGAGAAGTGACAGAGTTTGAAATACTGGTAAATAACAGTTTCTCTACCCACTTATTCAACTGAGACTCAAAGTAGAAACTCTTAAATCGTTAATACAGTATATCATATATAAAATATTCTTGTGTGGCATCCTGGGAGAATGGGCTCTGGGAGTTAGAGATAATTATAAAAACCCATTTCTTAGCATACCTGTGTCCTGTTCAAAGCAGGGCAAAATGTTATGTTGACTTTTTGGCTCAATTTTGTGGCATATTCTTGTAATCTCATCATTCACGAAGCTGAAATAGTGAAGTTGTGAATTGAGGCCAGCCTGGGCTATATAGGGAGACCCTTCCTTAAGAAAACAAAAACAGTAACAAATGACAACAAGGCCACAGTAACATTGGGGTTATTTCTCCTGTAGGGATCTATATGTTGTTACAGGGAGACTTACATACGGAAATGTGTAAAAGATCAAAGAAGTTTGATCCACACCATTGGAAAGTAAGGACTGGGAGGTGGAAAGGAAATGCCTATAAATTATAGCCCAGGGTAAGGAAGACACAATGATCAGATGAGGAACCAGAGAAGGCTTATTGTAAAGATGGGTTATAGGCATAAAGTCATTCAGAAAGTCTGGGCAGCCACTGTGTGCACCAGGAAATGTGCAAGATACTGAGAATACAGTTCTAGACCCCAGAGAAATAACTTAGAGACTAATGGAATCATACAATAGAGACAGTGTTCTAAAGAGGGAAGTGGTCATGATGACTGGAATATACGTGATCTGCTGGGGCACAGCTGAGTTAAACATTAAAAGAGAGGTTGGATTTTAACCAGAAGAAATCCAGGGTATAAGCAAAGACATTGATCTACAGAAATACAGTAATCAAGGGACTGAGGCATCATCTTAGTTAGATAATGCCTGGGAAAATAGGAGGGGAAATGTTGACAGAAAGCAGAGAAGGAGGCCAGTCTTATCCCTGGCATGAGGAGAGCAGAATCCTAGGCACCTCTACATACAGCTATCAGAGGTGAAGAACGCACAGAGTGGCAAAGGAAAGCCGGAGGTGGAATTAGGAGCAGGGCTTAGAGCAGAAGTGCAGGATGCCCACCCTCTTTGAATTTCAGGTAAGTGGTAATTTTCAGTGGAAATCTATCTCTTTCAACATTTTGGACATAAAATTACTTTCTAAAAGTTTGTCTGAAATCCCAGGTTCACTAGGTACCCTGTCTTGCATCAACAATTTGAGTGGGAGAGATGTGATTCAGAGGCCATGGGACAGTAAGCACTGACCCTTGGGTAGTTTCTCAAAGTGCCTTGTTGTTTTGTAGACGCGACAGATCAGTTTCAAAGATGAAGGGTTATTTTGATTCTTGGTTGCATAGGTTTCATTCCAGAGTCATTGACTGCTTTGAATCTGGGCCTGTGATAGGACTTAACATTGGGGGAGTGGAAGCATGTGACAGGAGCTGCTCTCCTCACTGCCAAAAGGAAGCTGAGAGAGAGAGAGAGAGAGAGAGAGAGAGAGAGAGAGAGAGAGAGAGAAGAGAGAGGGAGGAGAGAGGGAGGAGAAAGAGGCGCTACAACAAAATTCATCCCACAAGGGCATGCCTTCAGTGACCTGCTTCCTCCAGCGAAGCTTAAAGTTTCCAGGGTCCTCCGAAGAGCCACACCAGTTGGAGACCAGGCTATAAGTACATGGGCCTTTCTGAAAGACAGTTCATATTCAAATCTTAATAAGATAACCTAGGAAAGTGACAATGAACACGGAAAATTCTGAAGCAGCATTAGATGGCACAATAAAGATGGTTTTTTATTTATCTGCCAGGCAAGATGTGCCTGCTGATGTATGAGAACATGATTGTTGAGAGGAGAGCCAACCTTTCCGGTTGGATTGAGGCCCCTTCCAAAGCCAGGAATACATGCCTGGTACTATAAATCTGGTCAAAAGCTTAAGGCTGGGGAGGTCACAGGCTCTAGGAAGAAATTTACCACTGGTGTTTTGCTATATGTAGTCAAACTACCTTCTGAATATGTACATGCCCATAGACCAGTGCTGCTCTCAGGCTCCATTAAAGAAGTTTCTTTTTGTAGATGCTGACAGTTAACTCAGGGACTCATAACTGGTCAGAATGCTGAGAATATGTGATTGATGAGTCCCTCAGCCCTAAAGCCAACATCTATGACACCCCCTCCAAGGCCCAGGGAACATTACAGAAGGGAGGAGGGAAAGATTTGTGAGAAATAAAGTATAAGAAGGAGGGATGTGGGACTGGAGAGCTCAGCAGTTAAGAACACTAGCTGTTCTTGCAAGAGACCAGGTTAGAATCCCAGCACCCACACGGTGGCTAACAACTGTCCATACATCCAGTTCTAGGGGATCTGATGCCCTCTTCTGACCTCCAAGGGCATTGCCCAACACTGGTGTGCTCATGTGCATTCAGGCAACACACACATACACATAAAAAATAAATAAATAATAAATAAATAAATAAATAAATAGTAGAGGGATATAAAGTGCTGTCTTCTGGATATGACATGGCCACTGTACTAATAAACAAACAGCAGCTGTGTCTACTTGCATAAGACCTGCATAAAATAAAAACAAGTGAAAGGAGCCTGTTTAGGTGGAAAAGGGGAATCAACAGGAGAGGGGGGATGAGACAAGGTAATGGGAGTGATTATAATCAAAATTTGTTGTGTACATGTAAAAAGCTGACCAAAATTTTTTTTGTTTTAGAAAAAGAATGATTTCCCTAGAAAAGAATGTGATAGAAGAGAAACAGATGAATTTCTGATAGGAAAGTTGCAGTGAAAAGATGAACAGATCAAGAAAAGGCCAAGTTGACTGAAGCGTATGGATTCTCAGTTCTGGAAATGCTGAGCTATGAACAAGCGTTCTGAAAGGGCCATGGGGCTAGATGATGTCATGGAGGTCTGGGCATTTTTAAAAGTGCTCTTATTTATGTGTGGGAAGTAAATCATAGATTCTAATGAATAAATGATTAGATTCTCACCTTTTGTGTGATAATATTCCCCAAAGTCTCTGAAGGTTGTGACACTCAGCTCAGTCTGCATAATAACAAACCAGAGTTAGGCTTCTATTTACAGTTTCTCCAGCCTCTTATGATGCAAATATGTTTGTTTCCTATTGAGAGAAGGCAGTATTTTCTTTCCAATGATAAAGAGTCCTAAGTTATGGCAATCTGTGAAATACATTAGGTGAAATGAGATTTTTTTTTTTTTTTGCTTTTTCTCGCCTTTTATGAAAAAATTCAATAGCTTCACATTATATGTGAACATTTTCTCACAACTTTCCTATTTAGATGCTATTATAAAATAGTCAAATGGGAAGTAAATGTTCCCTGTATTTCACAAACCTTTTACAGAATAGCACAAATATTCAGATAACAAATGCAAGAAAGTGTAAGATGAAATTCCCGGGAAGGAAAGAACCGAAGTATCAGTAATGAGTAGTCGCACCAAGATTGATACTATAGCATTTCATCCCATTTCAAATGTGCTCTGCAAGTCCACCTGACCTTAAGAGGTGGCTAGAGAGAAGAAGTCAGTTTTCATATCTACTGTCATTAAGGCAGCCTTAAACTACCTGAGAGACTAATTAAAGAGCAAGTTCTATGGAGGAAGGATTAGAATATTGCTGTGGAACTAGTTCACGATGAAACGCAGCCTAAAATGGAGTGTGCCATCAACAGATCTGTCCACCATGATACCATCAAAGATCTGATGCATATTGTACATTCTTATTTCTTGGCTGTTCACTGAATGAGGAAATTTTATTAAAAAGTAATTTCATTTGTAATATTGTAAATGCAATTTAAAATATATACCATGCTGGGTGTGGTGACACATGCCTTTAATCCCAGCACTTGGGCGACAGAGGCAGGTAGATCTCTGTGAGATCAAGGCCAGCCTAGTCTACATAGTGAGTTCCAGGCCAGCTTGGATTACAGGGAGACCCTGTCTCAAAAAAAAAAAAAAAAAAATTAAAATTAAAAAATAAAAAATAAAGTTAAGCAAAATATATACCAATATCTATTATTTGACTTGTATAAAAGTTATGTATAATTATAGATTTCAGTGACCAACAATAAGTAATTGTTACACTATAATACATATATGCAACACAATTCAGTAAGGCCAATGATGAAATACTTTCTCGAATGATGGTATGGAAATGTTTACATTATCTTTTTAAGTGAAAAAAAATGTGAGACTCAAACTGGTATAATAAAACTGATAAATAATATCTGTACTGGGCTAGAGAGATGGCTCAGTGGTTAAGAGCACTGACTGCTCTTGCAGAGAACCTGGGTTCGATTCCCAGCACCCACATGGCAGCTATGAACCATCCTTAACTCTAGTTCCAGGAGAATCCGAAGCCCTCTTCTGACTTCTGTGGCATTGCTCAACACAGATGCCCCCATATACATGCAGGCAATACACTCATACACATAAAATAAAAATAATAAATAAAATATTACAAAAGAATATGTGGCCAGGCATGGTGGCACACACCTTTAATCCCAGCACTTGGGAAGCAGAGGCAGGAAGATCTCTGAGTTCAAGGCCAGCCTGGTCTATATAGTGAGTTCCAGGACAGCTGGCCTACAGGGAGACCCTGTCTCAAAAAGGCCAAAAAAAAGAAAAAAAAAATGTGTACAAGCATCTATAAAAGCAAAGAAATTAGACAGCACAAAACATTAAAATATTGATGGTTTTCTCAACTTGTAGAATCAGAGATAATTTGTATTATATTCTTCATGGTTTTCATTTTTCTATAAATATCCTGCAGTAAGTAAGCATCCTTAAAAATCAAGGCAATATGGTAGAACACTTCATCTGAGTTTTTAAAGGTAAGTTTGTGAGGCTTAGAAAAAGGGAGGCCATGGTTCAATTTCCAGCACCCTAAACAAAAACAAGCAAGCAAGAAAAATAAATAAAATGTATTTATCATATTTATGAAACACAAGTCTGAAACTCTAATAAAAGCTTAGCAGCTGACAGCCAGGAGGAGTTCTTAGCTGAAGCTGAGCAAGGTAAGAGTGATTGCCTGCGGAATACATTTCTAAAAATCCACTATTAAATTACGGCTCCACTTATCCCAGCTAAACGCCATTAAAAATTGAACACGAACAGCAAAGAAATGAATAATACAGTAAACACACAACAATTAGATCTATATCACACAACTGATAGGGGCATCTCCCTGAAACTCAGTGTACTTCGGGCAAAGGGCAGTGGGCTTCAGTGGCACACGCAACCTATTTTGAGTTCCAGCACCCACACTAAAGATGTGATCTGAGTATGTCTTTTTCTTTAAGTATGTTTGCTCAGTGGGGTGGGGAGAAACTTTTGTGCTGGGCTGTTATGAGGATGGTGCGAGATAAATATTAAAACCTTGCTTTGGTAGGTATTTAGAAAGCACTTTCTCCTCCCCCACTGTTCCAGTTGCCAAGAATTCAGTCAAAATACAGATATCGAAGGAGGCTCGAATGGAAACTAGACTCGAAACACTCAAACTGTGTGGATTATTCAAACTCAGTAAGAGGAAATTCTTAACATATAAAATATAAACTCACGGGCACACTTCTCACAATAGCAATTATGTCAGATCGTGTCACAGAACATTTAGAAATTCACAAGGGTAGAAAACTACATATACGTTCACATGAAAGAATACGGAAGGACTTTTCAAAAGGTATGTCTATGATTGCTTGCCCTCACTCTGACAAGCAAATGTAACTAAACTCCATGGGATGCAAAATCAAAGAAAAAAGGTAGAAGTAGAAAGGGAAAGGAGAGGAGAAAGAAGAGAGAGGAGGGTAGGGAAGGGAGAAGACGGGAAGGGAAAGAAAAGAAGAAATTGAGCCCAGAATTGTGATTCCAGCACTTGGGAGGCTGAGGCAGGAGGACTGGTGTAAAGTCAAGGCCAGTTACAGACTAAGAACCTGTTTCCAAACACAAACAAGAATTAGAAACTCTGGGTTGACCACTGAAGGATAATCAAATGTTTCAGCAGTCTGTAATGGGTGAGCACCAGTTTCTAGAAATACCAATGCTTATGTAAAAATAGAATATTGACAGTGGAAAATGAGTAGATCGA